ACAGCTTTACCTGGAGACAGAGAAAAACATAAAAGAAATCAAACAAGCTGTGTACAAGATTAACTTCAATTTACTGAATAAAGAAAAACTAAAAGAGAGAGCCATAGAAAGGATGACTGAGTGACAGAGGTATTGGTATGCAAGGTAAAGGAAAAAGTAAGGATGAGCTTAGCCAGTAACATATTGGGTTTGAACTGGTCACGAGAGCAAACATTGTCATGACCTTATACAAATGCATTAAATGTATTACAGGTCATCCTGATAAGATCATACCACTGTACAGAGTTTAAGGCAGTATCCTGTCAAATCAAGGTGGAAACAAATTTTAAAACGTTAAGAAAGGGCTAGGGTTGTAACTCAGTGGTAGAGCATTTGCCTAACATATGCAAACCCTTGGGTTTGAACTATAGCAGAACCAAAAAGGTAGCAGGGGAAGGTGCCTTAGTTACCTTTTCTCATCGCTGAGACAAAACACCCAAAGTTAAAGGAGGAAAGGTTTATTTGGAGCAGTTTGCAGAGGTTTCAGTCCATAGTTGGCTGGCTCCAAGGCAGGGTGGTATGGCAAAAGGGCATTGCAGAGTACAAAGAGTTCATGGCATGCACAAGGCAGAAGGCAGAAAGCACCAAGCTACAAGTGACAATAGCAGCTTCTTTCTGACCCTTTTATATTCTATCTAGGCTACCCTACTTAGGGTGGACAGCAAACCAATCAGTGGACTGATTTAGTAATCACACATTCTTAATCTCAGCATTACACCTTCTAGATCCAGCCACCTCTGAAAAAGCCCCACCTATGACTGCATAAGGCTTTGGGGGTACATCCAGACATAAGCCATAACAAAAGGGTAACAAACTTACACCAACATATGAAAGAATCCAACAGGACTTACTGCCCATGACATTTAACATAAACTCAACAATGATAACATTATGCAACATTATGATCTATCCCAGTAGTCTATACTTTCTTGAAGACAACAATCCTATCTCATTCATGCCAACCTCCACAGTGTCTTGCAGTGCCACCATGCCTACATGTGTAGATATGAACATCAGTTTTCCCACCTCCTTATCAGGCTATGAAGGAACAAAATAAAATAAACAGCCTTATCATAAGTCATGAGAACAAAGAACTCTACTCACCCCAACCCACAGCCAGTAAGCCTTTCCAACCCTGAGCTAAATTCTCTGATGTTTAAAAACTTTCCATCCTACAGGAAAATGGCTCTCAAACCTCTTTGAACACTATTTCAAACAAAAAATTATATATTTTTAATCATAACCCTGTAAACATATATGTAACTCAAAAATTTTGTGCAGCTAGACTTTACTCTAACCAAGTATAATGTGCTGTTATTTTGCACTTTCTTCCTTTTTTAACTGGCATGAGTAAGGTTAAATTTCATGACAAGGTGCATAAGGTATAATCTGGATGTATTTCACCCAACCTAACTCACACCTTAAAATTCAAAACCCACTCAACTTTGTTATCCATTAAGAGTTATAGTCCTGGGCCAGGGATTTAGCTCAGTGGTTGCGGCGCCTGCCTGGCATGTGCAAGGACCAGGGTTCAATCCCCGGTACCAAAAAAAAAAAAAAAGTTACAGTCTTAATAATAATATTCCAAAGCAATAATTTTTCAAAGTTAGGTACTATACCCCTGGGGAGGCAGAGGTTTTCCATGGGATTCATAGACACATGTTTTAAAAGAATCAACTTCTAGATCCTCAAATTCAATAAATACTCTTCTGAAATACAGGGATGTTTAATTAGAGATTCTTCTTCAACCTCCCTTTGTCCTACTTAACCAAAGGCTTTCCACCATCCTTGATTTTACTATGGTTCCCTGAAAATGTTGAGGAAAAATTCCTGTGATATCAAATAAGAGGGACAATTTAAAATAACATCAGTAGGCATGATAAGACATGTTATGCCTGGCCTGAATGAGATCCTCTGAGCAAACACGCACCCTCACCAAACAACAGGCTAATCTCAGTAAACAGAAGGTCATAAAGAAAATTTAGGACAAAATATATATCTCCTCAGCATCAGAGTCCAGTATTGTATGTACACCTGCGCTGACTGTCCATGGACCCTCAATCATAAACATTCCACTCCAGATCACAGCCCCCCCTTCTAAAAACCTATATAAACCTGGTTTCTCTCCCAGATAGCTGCTGAAAATCATTCAGAATCTCAGCCTTTTCTCACATAAAGCTGCTGAAATCTGCCCGATTTTAGTTCCTGTTCACATTTGGAAAGGAATAAAGCTTTTTCTCACACAAAGCCTATGTCCAAGTGGCTTCTTGAGCACTGTTTGTAACAGGACTTGCCTTTAATCCTGGCAACATGGGAGGCTAAGGCTGAAGGATCACAAGTCCAAGGCCAACCTGGACAACTTAACAAGACCCTGTACCAAAGATTTTTTTAAATTTTAAGAGCTGGGAATGTAGCTCAGTGCTCCTCGGTTCTGTGGGTAAAAATTTGGGGACAAGCAGAGAAAGGTAAGGGCCTAAGTGAGGTTTAGGGCAAATCCTAACTAGAAAGAGGTACAACATTTGCTAGAGAGAGAGCAATTAAGAGAAGCAAGGACAGCTGATAAGCAGCTTGGCCCCACTTGGTGCCAAGGCCCCAGTTCACCACTCCTCTCCACCTCCAGTTAAGTACAAAAGAGACAAAATGAGTAGGGAGCTCTATTATAGAATACTCAGTATATAAAATAAATACTCACACCTTCACATCCACATACACGTATTTATATTCTCACCAGATTACTGCACTAAAATGTCCATGTATTCCTTTACTAATTGTTAAATCAGGCTTGTATGTAAGGCCCATCATAAATTTTAGAGATAGCACTTTGGCAGGACAAGGAAGCACTAAATGAGCTTGCCCAAGTATTTGCACATAGGTAATGGGGAGAGGCTCAGTGGCCAAATCAAGGGTCTCAGAGCCTGAAATAGCCATCAAGTTATAACAAATTTCAGAGGGAGGATCTTTTTTCGCCATGTAATAAAAAGGGTTAAGAACAGAGACCATCAAGCACCAGCTCCAGGCTCCCTACCTTACTCCAACAAGTCTGTCTCCTCATTTCTCTCCTCTTTCGAATAAAGTGATTATATTTCTCCTTTTAAACATAATTTTTTATTTATATAAATTTACAGTTCCCAGATAAAATTTACCCTCATGAAACCAAACAGTTCAATCCCCAGCACTGCAAAATAAATATCCATGCCATGCCAATAATTTTTTTTTTTAAAGTGAGTTATGAATAACGTGTAACAAATCTTTTAGCAGGCCAGGTGATACAAAGTCTGCTTTCAACAAAATAAAAGAAAGACCTTATTGAGTAGGTAGCTGCTAGAACAACAACAAAAAAATTAACGCTACAGTACTATGTAATTTAGAAAGAGTTAAGAGAAATAAATAATTGCTGTAATAAAACTTTTGTTTCTATTTATTTAGGAGATCAACAGTTCTCAGTGCTTATATCTACTTAAAAATAAAAAACTGCAGGGCCAGGGATTTAGCTCAGCTTCGTCGTGCCTGCCTCATAAGTGCAAGGTCCTGAGTTCAATCCCAGGTACCAAAAAAAAAAAAAAAAAACCTGCAATAGAACTGATGCTAAAGTCTATCTTTTTCTATCCATATACAATATTAATCTAAAGATTAAGGCTTAATTGGGAAACACAAGTATCTTATGAAGGCTGAATTTCCAATAATTTTTACATTCTAATAATTTTTAAATGTGTGAAAAAGTGTAATTGATTACATATTTCTAATAATTGGAATAACATCACAATACAGAAGAAATTTACATGCATATTTTCATTGCGGAGAACAGAACTCTGATCAAATTATTTTTTAGATATAACGTTAGGTCAGTGTTTCTCCAAGTGTAGTATCTGAACCAATAATATCAGCCTCACTTGGTTAATTTGCTTAAAATACAAATTCTGGGACTTAGTAACTCTGGGGGTAGGGCACAGCAACCTACCTTTGTTTTAATGAATCCCTGTTTTTTTTGTTTTTTTGTTTTTTGGAGACAGGATCTCACGATGCAGTTCAGGCTGACCTTGAACTTACTATGTAGCCCACACTGGCCTCGACTTTGCAGTAATCCTGCCTCAGCCTCTCAAGTGCTGAGATTACAGGCCTCCACCACCACACCTCACTTACCCATTTGTGTTTTAAGTGCATTCTTAACCCTAGCCTCTAAATAGCATTCTTTTGTTCTAAAATGTAAGAAAGTATAAAATCAAGAATTATTGGTGAAGCGGGCCGGGGATTTAGGTCAGTGGTTCCCCCGCCTGCCTAGCAAGCACAAGGACCCAAGTTCGATCCCCGGTACCCAAAAAAAAAGAATTATTGGTGGAGGTCAGAAGTAGTGATGGGGTATGCTTAGCTTTAATTTGGTTTGATTAAGTCATAGTAGTATAAAATGGCACAGCCTTATAAATGTGACACTTTGACTAGTGTTTAACCTCTACCGGACCTCTGGCTGAACTTTTGGGTTGATTGGGATCAAAGCCATTTTGTTCTCCAAACTTGAATTCATTCTGATGATTGCCCTCTCACTCCTTGTCCAGTTGAACCCTGTTTCTAAAGGTCAATATGTTGTCTGCATGGCATCTCACTAACAATTAAGAGTAGCTGTAAAGGAAGATTATCAGTATTTCTTGTGGCAAGAAAAGTCATTTTTGTCTTTGCACTTTGGATGCTGAATTTTTTATGTGGAACATAGCCACAGCTAGATAAATGTGAGCATCTTCTGTTAGAATTATTTCCAATGTCTGTAAAAATGTTTTTCTAATATAGACTATTTCTGACTCAACCCTGTAAGACACTTATTTAGAATAATATTTGGGAAACAATAAAGAGCTTTTTCAAAATGAAAAAATAAAGAATTATTTAAGAATAAAATTAATACTGCACTACCAAAAGACTTAAAATTTTAAGGCAGTTTAGCATAGGGGTTAGAAGAAGACTTAGGAACTTACCCTCTTTGGCTAAATATAACTCCTTAAATTTTGCTCTCTTTTGATTAAATTCTTGCTCAAGCTGCTGCTGTGCACGTAAAAATTCTGCATTGATTTTTTCCAATTCTGCTACTCTTTGCTGAAGAGAAACTGTAAAAAAAAAATGTTAGTTAACAAGCAATAATTTTGTTTATAAATTAAGTTACAAGAATAAATTAGTATTTCACATTCCTATACATGAAACAAGTAGACAAGCTCTTCCCAAGATCCATTATAGTCTAGGAAATTCTAACTTGAAAAAGAGCAAGACACTTCTATTACACTTAATATATACAAACTGTGAATGAGTCATGTGTAGTGAAACAGCATATATACAGAGAATCACAGAAGGCCAATTTCCCAAATAAAAGAAAAAAAAAGTTTCTAAAATTATTTTGTACATTTGACAGAATAGTAATCCACTTTCAGAACTGTTAAATAATGAATTATTTAAACTACATATCAAATAGCTGAACCCATTGCCAATATTGCTATTTCCTGCATCTCTCAATTGGTATGAGCAAATCTAATAGGTTTCCTGATTAGGTCAACCATACCATCCAGAACTAGTCTTCCAATTTCAAAATGATCCATGACGATTATAATCAAATACAAAGAATATAAAACGGTATATTCTATCTGAACTCTCAAATACTGAGAGATTAGGTTGTTTTTTTGATTAACCACTTAATCACATTTAAGGGCCCTAAATGTGGCCCCAGCTCATGAAATGACAGCCTATTCTGGGCAAGCCCAGGGGTGGTTTTGGTTAAAGCATAAACCCTTAACCTCCCTGCTCCCTTAACAACCCAGCCTTAAGGCTATGACCATAATCTCTTTTTTTTCACTTTCATTAGTACATGTTTCCAGTATACAATGATTACAGTCATGGTAGGGAATTAGTACATGTACATAACCCATTTCAATTCCCTTCTTTTCCCCCCTTCTTCCTCCCCCTTTTATTTTTCCACCATCAGATTCATTTATTTATAAGATCTTATGAATTATCATACATACAGACTAAAAGCCAGACTAATAGATGAAAGAACATTTAAAACACATAAGACAACTGTACTAAGTCAAGGTACACTTTTAGATACACTGTCCACACTGGATTACAACACCATATCAGTACATTAATTACCTAAGCCAGCAGAGGTCACAGTTTCCTACTATAAACCACCCTCAATGACAATGATTTGCCTACAATTTTAACGGAGATTATCTGTGAAGGGCATCCTCTCCCCCAATCCACTCTCATTTAATTCAGAGCTGATTTGATTTTGTTTATTTTGGGGTTTTTTGAGGTGCTGGGCCTTTACACTAAGCTACATCCTGAGCCCTCCCTTTTTCTTTTGAGACAGGGTCTCCCTAAGACACTTAACTGTCCAGTCTGGGATTGAAGTTGTGATCCTCCTGCCTTAGTCTCCTGGGCACTGGGATTATAAGCATGTGCTACCATACCAAATCAGAGCTGATTTGATAATGCATAGAAAAAAAAGACTTAAAAAATGTACCAATTACTTATTTATAATAGATTCCTGGCTCATAAATTTCTTCCATATTTTTTCAAAGTTTTCTACAATGTGGATATAGTTTCCTCTGACAATAAATAATAAGCTAAAACCAGTATTTGTTCATTCCCATGACATCTCCAGACTAGCTTCATCACAGATTTAACAGTATTAGTGGAATTCATGGCAGAAAGGGGAAATGAGCACTGATTTGAGTCTCATATCATTAAAAGTAAAGAGTCATTTTGAGGGACAAGTTATCTATAGAGCCTTATGTAAAAGAAATGACATCTGCTAATTTGAAGAGGGATAGAAAAAAATGCTGGAAAGGGGATATGTGCAATTATCTCACTTTTCCATTTTAAATCATGAAGAAATTTTGTTCTCTGTGCTCTTTATTTCTGCCTGTATTTTCACTGTTAAGTAGCTTTTCCAAGTAACACCTTAATATTAGTTGTAGCTATTGATCACTGCAGGGGAGGGGAGGGCTCTGGAAGGAGACAATCATTCCATATGTATATGTACTTAATCATGTTCTACATTATAAAAATATTATCTGTCAATTTGAAATACATAAAAGGCTGGGAACGATGGCACACACCTAATCCCAGCACTTGGGAGGCTGAAACAGGATTGCTGTGAGTTTGAGACTAGCTTGGGTTACACAGTGAGTTCAAGGCCAGCCTGAACTGCATAGGGAGAATCTGTCTTAAAAAACCAAAAGAATGGCCAGGCACTGTGACACACACCTGTAATCCCAGCACTCCAGGCTGAGGGAGGAGGACCACTATGGGTTCAAGGTCAGCCTGAGCTACATTGTGAGTTCAAGGCCAGCCTGCATTACATAGGGAGACCCTATCTCAAAACACAAAACAAAACAAAACAAAAATACATAAATAAATTAAATTAAATGAGAGCTGGGGATGTAGCTTAGTGGTAGAATGCTTGCCTAGTATACACAAGGCCCTGGACTTAATCCTCAGTACTGTAAAAAGATAAATATATAACAAGATCCTTCTGTTCTTACTTTCTGCTAACTACATCTCCACCCCATCCCTACCCAAACCACCTGCATGCACTTACAAAATGCTCATGCCATTCAACATTATATTTGTATTTAAATTAATGAGGCTCATGAATCAACAAAAACAAAAATGCAGCTAAACTTTAAAACTGCAGTCAAACATTAAGTGTATTTCCACTACTTCCAACCTCATCCTGGCTCTGATCCACAATTCAAATCGCATCTACACCCACATGTCTGACTGGCTCTCTCCAGGCCCCAAGAAAGTTTTCAATTCCAGGAATCACGATCCTTCTCAGGGTGTACCAAGTTACTCTCTCTTCTCATTTTGGTTTTATTGTTAATTTTAAAAAGTAATAATCCAATTCAACTACTACTAAACACACTGCAATTCTACAAAAACGAAAGGTCAAATAACTGTTTCCTGTAAGAATGCTTCTATTATATTTAGAAAAATCAACTCATCATGAATAGAGAGCAGGAAAGTTTATAGATAAGTAGGCATATAGTAATACATTAGAGCAAACCACAAATCAAAGTAGCTCTCATCACACAAAATGCTGTATTATTTTTCTAACATGGTGATTAATAATTCACAATAATTAGCTAATAGTTCAAGTTAAAAATACTCAGCATGTACAGAAAAAACTTGATGCTACCTGTTATTATTAAACTAGTGGTATTTACTTCATGAATTAAAAAAAAAAGCAGACAGATCAAATGAATAAAAATAAATTTAAAAACCCAGACAGATCAAATGTCTCTGTATGTAGCCACAAATGACAAGTCACTCCCAGTCTCATGATTCCAACTCAGTTCCATGTTTAGATTTTCAAGTTCATACCCTTCCCTACTACCACATAGCCTCACAGCAAATTAACAAGTGTCAATGTCACCCTTCAACACTGACCAACCTTCTAAAAGTTAGCAACTGAGAGTTTTAGTACATCAGTCTTCATAAACCATTCCATACATTCCATACATATTTTTTTACATTCCATATATTGTTACCTTTATTTGAATAAGAACAAAGGAAAACTATTTAATGCAATGGTAACTTTTAATGCTTGACATCCAAAGGGAAAAATTACTACATCCCTTACTCAAAATGTCTGAACTAAGCAACAACAATACAAAAGGAAAAAAATAAGAATAGCATAAATGATTCAATAAGTCTTAGGTATTTTTCCCTAATTTTGACAAAAATGAGAGAACATGCAATAACTTAAAATATTTTTAAGCGTCAAGCTGTATCCTACTACTAGTACCCTACTACTACATTCCTCTAAGGAAAACACTGTACAGTGCTAAATTTTATAAGACATAAACCACAGGACAAGTAATAAAGCAGTCTAGGTCAAATTTTACTGCAACCAAAATAGTTTTATTTAAAGATGTTCAAAATCCAAGAAAAAACCTATTTCAATCTCTAGAACACTGATCCCAGTGGAGAAAAGAATCTGAACAGTTCCTGAAACCTAGATGGTGATCACTGGATTTAAAAATTATGCCAATCCCAGCCATTCAGGAGGCTGAGAGGATCACTTGGGTGCAGGAGTTTGAGGCCAGCATGGACAACACAGCAAGACTCCATCTCTTAGAAAAAGGGAAGGGGGAGGGTAGAGAAGTAGAAAGAGAAGAAGGAAGGAAGGAAACTATTAAATATGGTAGGTACATCCATTCAACAGAATAATATCAATGTCAGAAAAAAAAAGAATGAGACAAAATTACGTACAGCACGATGTGATCTATGAACAAATATGAAAAAAAGACTGAAACATATATACTAAAATGGTACTCTGATAATTAAGAAGATATGTCGGCTGGATTTTAATTAGAAGGCCTCTGCACTGACCAACATTCCCAGCCTTATTTATTTATTTAGAGACAGAGTCTTGCTAAGTCACTAAATTGTCCAGCCTGGGCTCAAACATGTGATCCTCTTGCTTTAGCCTCCCAGAGTGCTGGGATTACAGGATAGTGCTACCACAGCCAGCAATAACTGTAATTTTCTTATTGCTCTATTTCAATCTCGTTGCTCATAAAAAGGACACATAATAGGGGCTGGGGATTTAGTTCAGTGGTTTTGTCGCCTGCTGCACAAGTGCAAGGACCCAAGTTCGATCCCAGGTACCAAAAAAAAAAATGGACACATAATTTACTTCAATGATCTTAAAAATATTTCAACACAAAAAAATAATCATTTTTAAGCTACACTTAAATTTTCCCAGAATTAGCAATTTGTTTAAATAAACTTTCAAAAAGTCTCACCTAGTAAACTACAGTCTCTCTGTGCTCTAAAACTTATCACCCTCCAGCCTTTTCTTTTGATTTTTTTTTTTTTTTGGTACTGGGGATCGAACTCGGGACCTTGCACTTTCAAGGCAGGTGTGCCACCACTGAGCTAAATCCCTGGCCCCTTCCTCCAGCCTTTTCTAAGAATACTAAAAAAGACTACTATTTGCTATAAATCTACCCACTGAATTATACTTTGTATTCCTCAACGAGGAAGGGGGGACGTAACTAGAGAATACTAATCACAGACAAACAGTAGTCTAAATGCAGGTAACTGG